TAAGATAGTTTGATTCATTTCGGTATCATGATGAACTTTGATTGTTATCAGCTGTTAGGGTAATCCATAAGAAAGGCCATGTAAATTTTAGGGTGTTTTTATGGTGTGTTTTTCTGTTTCTTTTTAGAAAATCGATAACGGTTGATGTTGCAGCAACTAGTTTCACTAAGCCGTCAGTTGCTAGAGTGTTGGTGGAATTGGATGTTACAACCATACTTTATAAAGAGGTGTGGATTGGATCTCAGTTGGGATATTGACAGAATATGAAATTTGAAAATATTATTTCGTTTTGTTCCTTGTCATATTTTTTGGCATAAATATTCTTAATATTTCAAGATATATCCTAAGCCGCAGCTTCCAAAATATCTTCCACAGACTTCAGCGTATTGACTCTGTGAAAACGAAAAGATTTCATATTCTTTATACTGGAAGAGGTAGAATCAGAATAAGGTTGTTTTCACTCACCAATATGTACTGTGTTTCAAGCTAGACAATCAAAATGATTTTATTGCATATTATATTGTTGTATTTTCTTTTATGTGCACAAATATCAACGCAATGCTCTTGTATTTCCTGTTTTCAAATCTTTTTTAGAAGCATTTGGAGGAATATTAATGCCTGAATGGAAGTAATTCAGAGTTTTTTTAGTCTTAAGGTTTATTGTTTAATAAGAACTAAAACATAGAATAATGAGTTAGTGAGTCCCTGGATTTCTTAGTTGCTATTTAATAGATTTACAAGATTTCTTTATCCCTTTTCTGTCTTAAATGTGACCATGGGATCTGTTTGAGTTGAGTTAATTGGTTTGAGAGTATTTGCATTGGAATGGTCGATGTGGCGTATGAGTAGGGGTGGTGGTTATGGTTGTAAAGTTTTTTGTTGTTGAAACACTTTCTTCTATCTTGACTTCAAATGAGATTTTTTTTTATATGAGCTGGTAGGTTTCAAATGGTGACTTTCGTTGAATTATGAAAAAAGGCAATGGTTTATGAAAAAGATTGGCATGCAATGATTGCAATGTTTTATAATATTGTGGTTTCAAATGAGATTTTTTCTTTACAAGTTGGTGGCAATAATTGCAATGCTTTATGATGCAGTTCATATAAAGGTTTATTTTTTTTATTCTCCAAAACTTTTATTGGCTGATAGGGGGATGAAGCAATTCATGGTACTTCTCTTTCCATATTATGCATATGGATCCATTGTACTACTTTTTTCATGTTAAGCATGTAAATCTATGACAGTTTTCCTAAAAATTGATGATAGAGATTTCATTTAGCATTTTAAATTGCAGTTTCTATTTGGGATCTCATTAGAAGTCAAATGATAGTGTATGAAATGCTTACAGGGTTCATTTGGAAGACATACACTTATGTTTTATTATCCTGCAAAATTTTTTTTGCCTACACATTATTTAATATTATATTTTTTTGTATAGATATTTACAATGTCAAATGTTGAACATTGTCAGTCTGTATCAAATGACGAACAATTGCCACTTGCAACACAAGAAGAAATTGATAGTTCTTAACCTATTGAACTGACTGTTGGGAGCACTAGTACTGAAATACAAGTTACGAAAGACAGGAAGAGAAAATCAACTGTGTGGGAGTATTTTATAGATGTTAAATCAAACTCTAAGGGGGTCGAAGTATCATATGTTCAATGCGTTTGCTGTGGGGTGAAAATACTTAAACCCAAGTCAGGTACAACCTCTCAACTTCTTAGACATGTTAAGGAATGTGCTAAGATAAAAGCCAAGAGTCAACAACAAGTTGACTTCTCATGCAAGAGACAAAAGTTACTGAACTTCTTGCCTTCAAAAGTTCAGAGTGATTCAGATATTCCTATTTTCGATGATCCCAAGAATTATGATCAACAAATCATAAGAGAGGTGATTGCGAAAATGATAATTGTGCATGAGTATCCATTCATGATAGTTGAACATATTTGGTTCAACATATTGTTAAAAATGTTGAATTCTAACTTTCAAAGTGTTTCAAGAAACACGATAAAAAATGATTGCATAAAAGTTTATGAATGCAAGAAAGAAAAGATTAAATCTCTCCTTAAAGATGCTCGTAGGGTGTCATTAACTACAGATTGTTGGACCTCCAATCAGACTATCGGATATATGTGTTTGACTGTTCATTATATTGATGAAACATGGAAGTTAAAGAATATTATTATCAACTTTATTGAGTTAGAACATTCACATACTGACACTTACATTTGTGATGTTATTTGTGAGTGCTTGTTGGAGTGGAATCTTCTGGATAAAATATCTACAATTACTTTAGATAATGCGAATAATAATGACGTGGCTGCTAGTTCATTAAAATCGAATTTTCAATCACGCGAAAAGTTGCACTTTCATGGTTTTTTTTGCATGTCAGATTCTGCGCACATATTATCAATATAATGGTCCAAGATGGACTAAAGGAGGTTCATGAAATCATCCAAAATATCAGAGAGTCGGCGAAATATCTAAAAAAATCCCTTGCAACTTAAAGAATTCAGTGGTACATAAAGAATTTTGTGGTATATATGTAAGTGCATAAGAATGCGACATGATGAATCAGATTTGCTTTTCAAGGAGATTTATCTCCCAGATTTGTTGTTAATGCTCTGCTAATGCTCTTTTCAAACTACTGTTTTGTTATATTTTGTTTAGCTCAATTTCTACATTACCGTAAAGTTGTTTTTACCTTTAAAGAATCAATTTCTGCATTACCTTTGGGAATAGCTCAATTTCCGCATTACCGTAAAGTTGTCTTTGGGAATAGTTCAATTTCTGGAATACCTTTGGGAATTCATGTTTTTCATGTTGAGCATTGTCCTGCTTCAAATTGTATTTGGGAATAGCTCAATTTCTGCATTACTTTCTTGTTTTGTAGAGCATTGTTTGACAATGCTCAGGCTTTAGATTTCCATTAAGAAATCTGATTCTACTTCCTTTCTGCGCTCACGAATCTGTCTCACTAGTAGAAATATGCTTTTTCGGAAGTCTGATTTTGTAGTTTTTGTGGTCTTGCATTTCTTATGTATTTGTAGGGTGTTTGCAGAACTTTGCATCAATATTTGTAGTTCTGTGGAGTTCAGGGTAAACAGGTTCAAGCTTAAGCAAGTTTTCTCAGTCACTTCTGCATTAGAGAGCTATATTGGCTTTTAGTCAGCTGGTCTTGCACTTTAACCGTAAAGTTGCCATTAGAAATTTAACCTTAAAGTTGTCTTTGCATCAGAAATATTTGTAGTTCTGCAGAGTTTTTGTGGTCTTGCAGTTTAACCTGCATTTGGTGTGTTAATAAAGCATGAAGGCTTGTTGGCTTGCTTAAGGATGTGGTAATGTGCAATGGTGACAGTTTAACCTGAAAAGCATGCTGGAATGTTATAAACTGAAAAGGATGTG